GCCTATGATGACGTTCCTGACCTTTCCCTTAATAAATGCTAGCTGCGGAGCCAAGATGGCAGGGTGAAAGCAGTGACTTGCTTGAGCTCTCCTCCAAACCTCTCCAAATACTCATAAAAAATGGCTCTAAACAAATTCTGAAGCAGCAGAACCCACAAAAAGACAGAGTGAAACAAATTTCCAGCCCAAGACAACCTGGATGATTGATCAGAAAGGTGTATCACGCGGGCTGGGAGCAGCGCAGCGCGGGTGGGCACGCAGGCCACAGCGAACCTGGAGCAGGCCTCAGAGGACTGAATCCTGGGCAGCTGTGGAGGTTTCCAGACTCCTCAATCCACCAATGCCAAAGACAACTTAGAAGGTCAGTGGGAAAAGTCTGTTTCTGTCTGTGCTGAGAAAGGAAGGCGGGGTTCAGCTCCATTCCCCAAGAGCGTGGCCTGGGGGGGCAGCTGCTTCCCGAGCTTCCAGCACAGACTGAGGGGGAATCCAGTGGCTGATCAGAGAGGGATTGCAGGGATCTCTTTGTCAATGCTGAGGCAGAAATCTCTTGCTTTGCCCCTGTTTGGATCTGGGTCACAGGTCTGGGCAGCGGTGCTGGGGTGAGGAGGAGCTCTGGCCTGGTGGAAATTGTAGTGGCTGTGGAGAGGAACCCCGCCTCACAGTTACAGGACAGAAAGGAATACTTGTAGTCACAGGCCAGGAAAGGAGTAAACACCTCCCCTTATCATACCACCTTGGAAGAACTGAAAATTTACAGGTCCCTACAAGTATCTCTGAAAACAGCTGTACAAAGAAGCTTGGGACAGTACATCTCCACATTGGAAGCAGATTCGTACCTTAACAAAGAGTTTAAAACTCAAGTAATTGGCTGGGATCATGAGCAAGCAGCGCAAAAAGAGTCAGACTATATTATCTTACTTTGGTGAAAGAAGATCAAAATATACAACCAGAAGAAGACAACAAAGTCAAAGCCCTACATCCAAAGCCTCCAAGAAAAATATGAATCAGTCCCAGGCCTTGGAAGACCTCAAAAGGGATTTTGAGAAGCAAGTAAGGGAAGTAGAGGAAAAACTGAGAGTGATGCAAGAAAATCAAAAAACAAGTCAACAGCTGCTAAAGGAGACCCAAAAAAATACTGAAGAAAATAACACCTTAAAAAATAGCCTAACCCAAATGGCAAAAGAGGTCCAAAAAGCCAATGAGGAGAAAAATGCCCTAAAAAGAAAATTGGCCAAATGGAAAAGGAAGTCCAAAAGCTTACTGAAGAAAATACTTCCTTAAAAATTAGAATAGAGCAATTGGAAGATAGTGACTTTATGAGAAATCAAGACACTGTAAAAAAAATCCAAAAGAATGAAAAATTAGAAAACAATGTGAAATATCTCATTGGAAAAACAACTGACCTGGAAAATAGATCCAGGAGAGAGAATTTAAAAATTATTGGACTATCTGAAAGCCATGATCAAAAAAAGAGCCTAGACATCATCTTTCAAGAAATTATCAAGGAAAACTGCCCTGATATAGTAGAACCAGAGGGCAAAATAGAAATTGAAAGAATCCACAGATCTCTCCTGAAAGAGATCCCCAAAGGAAAACTCCTAGGAATATTATAGCCAAATTCCAGAGTTCCCAGGTCAAGGAGAAAATATTACAAGCTGCCAGAAGGAAACAGTTCAAGTACTGTGGAAACACAATCAGGATAACACAAGATTTAGCAGCTTCTACATTAAAGGACCGCAGGGCATGGAATATAATATTCCGGAGGGCAAAGGAGATAGGATTACAACCAAGAATCACCTACCCAGCAAAACTGAGTATAATCCTTCAGGGGAAAAAATGGTCATTCAGTGAAATAGAGGACTTTCAAGCATTCTGATGAAAAGACCAGAGCTGAATAGAAAATTTGACTTTCAAATACAGGACTCAAGTGGAACATGAAGAGGTAAACAGGAAAGAGAAATCATAAGAGACTTATTAAGATTGAACTGTTTACATTCCTGCATGGAAAGATGATATTTATAACTCATGAGACCTTTGTCAGTATTAGGGTAGTTGGAGGAAAAAAATTATATGTATGTATATGTAGATAGATAGATAGAGGGCACAGGGTGAGTTGAAGATTAAGGGGTCATATCTGGAGAATAAAATTAAGGGATGAGAGAGGATTATTCGGAGAAGAAGAAAGGGAGAGGTAGAATGGGGTAAATTATCTCACAAAAAAAAGAAAAGAAAAGTCTCTTACAGTGGAGGGGAAACAGGGGAAGGTGAGAGGGAATGAGTGAATCTTATTCTCATAGGATTTGGCTTAAGGAGGGAATAACATACACATTCAATTGGGTATGGAAATCTGTCTTACCCTACAGGAAAATAGGGGGAGAAGGGGACAAGAGAGCAGGGGGATGATAGAGAGGAGGGCAGATTGGGAAAGGGGTAATCAGAAGTAAATACTTCTGAGGAGGGACAGGGTCAAAAGAAAGAATAGAATAAATGGGAGGGCAGGATAGGATTAAGGGAAATAGAGTTAGTTTTTCACAACATGTCTACTATGGACGTGTTTTGCATAACTGCACATGTACAACTATATTGAGTTGCTTGCCTTTTCAATGAGGGTGGGTGGGGGGGAGGAAGAGAAAATTTGAAACCTAAAGTTTTTAAAACATATGTTGAAAAAATGTTTTCACATGCTACTGGGAAATAAATAGGAAATGGGGTACAGAAGTCTATCCTGCCCTACAGGAAAATAGAAGGGGAAGGGGATAAGAGAAGGGGGAGAGAAGAAGAGAGGACAGAGTAGGGAAGGATATTCAGAATGCATGACATCTTGGGGTGGGGGGCGGGGAGAGATGGGGTGAAAATTTGGAACTCAAAAACTTGTGGAAGTCAATGTTGAAAACTAAAAATAAATAAATTTATATTTAAAAATAGAAAAAATAAATGCTAGCTGACTGAACAAGCCCCCACAGCCTGGTGGCACGCTGTCAGTCTCCAGCTCTGAGATGGGGAAAGGGAACTGAGTTGACACTACCTGGTGAAACATCCCCCTTTCCCCCAAGAGTACCCCAAGTCCCCTAGGGCCCAGAGTCAGGAACCCCCCAGTTTCACATCCCACAAGAGGCACTCACACATGTGGGATTCCAGACAAGTCATTTAAGCTCTGCATCGGTTTCCTCATCTACAAAATGGGGGTGATAATAACAGTACCAACCTCACAGACCTGTTGTGAGACTCAAACAAGACCAGGGCTTGGCAAACTGGAGAGTGCCATGTAAACATCAGCTGCTGTTAACTAAATCCTGCTGGTCCTCCAAGGCCCAACCAAGTCTCTCCACTGGCTGCTCTAACTCTCCCATCTCAATTTTTAAAATGGCTAGTGCGTGGGCCATGGCATTTGTTCTTCTGTTATGTCTTTCTTTAAAGAAAAAAAAATTATTATCTTTTCTCGTTTCAGCACCTTTATTTCCCCAAATAGCTGTTCCCTCCCACATCTCCTACACCAAAGAATAAAAAAGAATTCAACAAAATTAACCAACCAATATGTCAACCAAGCTGAAACGGTTGGGCAGTGGGGTACTTTGCTTCTGCAAAGAAGAAAAGAAGGCTGCTGTCTTGTATTATTTCTTCTTTCAAATGTGCTAGTTGGTCTCCCCATTTAGAGCATAGCCTTCCTGAGGGCAGGGATTGCATTTTATACTGGTTCCATATCTCCAAGCCTATGCTTACCAAAGAAAAGACCCTGGATAAATAGACCCCACTAGCTGGTCCAGCAGACTTTCCATTGCCCACTCCTGGGGATGGCAGCTGGACCACTGTGGGTCAGAATTTGTGCTGTATGGTTCAATTTGCTCTGACAAACGTAATGGAAGTTCTCACAAGAAGGTTTCCCTGTCCTCCTACTCAAACACAGACTAATAACCTGTGTCTCAAAGGATAATGGCAGGAATTCACTTTTGTTCTTTGAGGCTGTCTCATGCGACCAAAGGCCAGATGAGATTCCATGTGGATGGACAGGGCTTTCCAAACTGACAGATGGTATCCAGCCCTACTCTTCCCCTCCTCCTCAACTGCCCCATTGAGAAATCAGATACAGATGCTAACGGTAATCAGCCTGGGCTAAGAGAACTGTAATGAATCAGATCACAAATGGCCTTCTGTCCTAAACACAAAGAAGTGCCTGAACTCCAAGGCAATTCTCCCAAGATGGTGGCCCACACATCTTTTTCCAGAGTCACCTCTCTCAGGCCCTCCCAGCTCCAAGACTGATGGATCATAGCAATGTAAACAGAATGGTCTCTCTCAGGGTTAAACAAGGCAGAAACGGCCTGGGTTAAAAAGTAACCTCGTTTTATCTGCCTTCAGACCTCTGAGGATAGCAAGGAGCGATGCTGGGCAAACTCAAAGATCACTCTAATAATTTAGCAGCCAATTCTGTTCCATCACACCGACCTTGACCCAAAGAGAAGAAGGGAAAACCTTGACCTGGAAACATCATTATCTAAGAGTTATGTCACAGCACATAGTAGGTGCTTAATAAATGTTTACTGACTGACTGATAGTAGGTGATTAATAAATGCACATCAATTCATTAAGTCAATGAAAAGAGGCAATAGGGTCATAGAACAGACTGCCTTTCTTTTTTGGCCCTTCGAATTCTTCATATAAAATTGTCAACAATTTGCTATTTAGATCCAAGATCAGAAGCTGGGGGAATGGTGAGGTCACTCAATCTGTCCACCTCATTGTACAGATGAGGAAAGCAACATCCTTGGGGGGGAGGTGCCCGTGGACTGACAGTGAGTGTCAGAACCTCCTCCCCTTGTGAGTTTGACAGCCGCCCTGATTCTCCCCTCGATCGGGCTTATTGATGGACAAGTTGTTCCACCATCAGCTAAAAGCAAAGAGAAGGACAAGGCAATGCCAGGAGAAGGCAGAGAAGGAAGAAGCATTAGGACAGACCAGGAGATCGTTGGCCCTGTTTGTGAGGAGTAAGACAGGGGGCTTACCAAGGATGAGATTACCTTCTCCTCAGCAACTGGCCTCGGGGTCTTGCCCTTGTCAACAGCTGGCCTCGGGTTCTTGTCCTTGTCAACAGCTGGCCTCAGGGTCATGTCCTTGTCAACAACTGGCATTAGAGTCTTGTCCTTGTCAACAACTGCTATCAGGCTCTTGTCCTTGTCAACAGATGGCCTCGGGGTCATGTCCCTGTCAACAGCTGGCCTCGGGGCCTTGCCCTTGTCAACAGCTGGCCTCGCGGTCATGTCCTTGTCAACAACTGGCATTAGAGTCTTGTCCTTGTCAACAACTGCTATCAGGCTCTTGTCCTTGTCAACAGATGGCCTCGGGGTCATGTCCCTGTCAACAGCTGGCCTCGGGGTCTTGTCCTTGTCAACAGCTGGCCTCGGGGCCTTGCCCTTGTCAACAGCTGGCCTTGGGGTCATGTCCTTGTCAACAACTACTATCAGGCTCTTGTCCTTGTCAACAACTGCTATCAGGCTCTTGTCCTTGTCAATAGATGGCCTCGGGGTCTTGTCCTTGTCAACAGCTGGCCTCGGGGCCTTGCCCTTGTCAACAGCTGGCCTCGGGGTCATGTCCTTGTCAACAACTGCTATCAGGCTTTTGTCCTTGTCAACAGCTGGCATCGGAGTCTTGTCCTCGTCAACAGCTGGCATCAGGGTCTTGTTCTCATCAACCACTGGCACAAGGGACACATCCTTTTCAAAAGCTATAGTGGGGCACACATCCTCTACAGAAACTTGCATCAGGCACAGGTCCTTTCCACCAACTAGCATGGGGCATACATCCTCTTTATGAACTTGCATTGGGCATACGCTGTCTCTATAAACTGGTATTGAGCACACATCCTCTTCACCTACTGGCCAAGAAGGGACATCCTCTTCTACATTTCTCTTCCATCTCCCACCTTTTTTCTTTTTCTTCTCACCATCCTGGCAGCAGGAAAGCCAATGCGCAGAGGGCGCAAAGTGGAATGAGCCCATGGTGAACCTTTCGCTCTCTAAGGCACCATTTGTCCATTTGCTGCAAAGCACATAATCCTTCAGAAGGTCTCAGATGCTGTACATGGGGCTCCAGAGCCCCACTGGAAGCCCTAAGACACTGGCCCGCTTCCTGTGGCCCTAATTGTTTATGTCATAGAACAACAGTGTGGGGGAGGGGGTGTTGCTGGATTCCTTGCTCACGCATCCAAAACCCACACTTCCAGGGTCCAAGCAGTCATCAGTCTGGGCACACTGGTCCTCCCGCAGACACAAACTGAGACCCCTCTGAGACTCGGGAGATGGTCTGAGAGTTTCTGTGGCTAAACAGGCATCACCCATCCCCTCGTGACTGAGCAACTTCCAGCTTGTCTTCAAGAGATACACGGATCATCCTCCAAAGCAGCCGTACCTGACACCCACCACTGGCTTCGGTATAGAACACTGGACTGGGGGTGGGAGGATTTAGGATTAAGCAAGCAGGCCAGGAATGCAATGGTGGAGGAACTGCTGATTCTGGAGTCAGAAGAGACGGCTCGAAGCCTGCCTTTGTCTCTGACCAGCTACGTGAGGCTGGGAATGGGACTTCACCTTCTGGGTCTCAGTTTCCCTAGCTGTAAAAGGACAGGGTAGGCCACATGACCCCTCAAGGTCCTATCTGGGACCGACAAAGCACAGGTCTGCTAGTCAGGACCCATGTGATGTTGGGTGACTCGCTGACCCACTCGGGGACCGTCTCCTCCTCACGAGGTTGACCTCTAAGGCCCCTTCATAGCTAAATCCATGATCTGTGACTTGTCAAAAGTAAGGTGCTGTGGAGGAAGCCCGGGAGGATGCAAGATCACCCCCACATCAGAGAGAAGAGGAATTTTGTGGAGTTTGCGTAAAATAATCAAAACACCACTTTCTTTGGCATAAAGAAATAATAACAACAATAGCTAGCATTTATGTAGCCTTGTCAGGTTTGCAAGGCCCCATATGGCAGCTCATTGGATTCTTATCACTACCATTAGCCCCAGTTTACAAATGAGAAAACTGAGGCAGGGTGAGTCTGAGTAAGTGTCTGAGACAGAATATGAACTCAGCTCTTCCAGACCCTAAGTCCACTGCTCTTACCTACTTTGCCAAGACTTTTTCTTTTCTTTTCTTTTCTTTTTTGGAGGGAGGGAAACTACAGACAGGAAAAAAAATCAGCATTCTGTAAGACATGATAAAAAAAAAAAGCACCATAACTAACCCTATCCTATGAATGGACCACAAAGTACATCTTTGAGTATGAGCCTCATCAAACAAGATGGTACCTCAACTGCCCAGGCCCAATTGGTATAGCTGCATTGGGAACAAAGCTACCCACAGGATTACCCCAATGGCCCCTTGGTTTCCAGGGTGTCCGGGCACATAGGCCCACCCACATAATCCTTGCCTTTGCCTCACCTTAAGGACAAAGGAATCATTATAATGCATTAAGAAATGATACTCAGCCCCCCCCAAAAAAAAGGCCAACATAATCATTCCACCCTTACATGGAGGATGGACAAACTGACACGGGTGGAGTTGGGTTCAAATCCTGATGCCGTGGCTTCCTGCCAATCTGACTGTGAACAAGTCTCTTCATTTCAATGAGCTGTTCACTTTCTTCATCTGTTAAAAGTGGGGGTAGTCTAGAAGACCTTTGTGCTCTTTGCAGCCCTGCATCTACAATCCTTTAATCCAAATGAAACTGCCAGTGCATTTATGAAGCTATGAACACATCTGTTTATTAAATGTCTACTATGTACCAGGGACTATGCTAAGCTCTAGGGATAGAAAAAGAGGCAAAAGACAGTCCCTGCCCTCAAGAAGCTTACAGTCAAATGGATTTGATCTGTATCTATCTACATGCAGATCAATCTGATCAGATTAAATAAAACATTAAGGATTTACTATAAGCCCTGCCCTCAAGGAGTTTACATTCTGATGGGAAAAGAGAACACAAAAGGCAGCTGAAAAGCTGGAGCGGGAATGCGGAGAGAGGAGGCCCAGATAGATAACCCTCTGTCCAGACTTGTGATTTCTGTCAGTCCAGGGAGCTACCCAGTGAGGAAACCCCCTCTGCCAATGAAGATCTGCACTTTAGAGGCTTACAGAGTTGTCTGAGAGCACAGAGAGGTTCACAATGACTTGCCAGGGTGTTAGGGGAAGGTGTGGAAACCAGATTGTCCTTGTATCTATATCCATTTGTGCATATCTATACAGGCCTATAAAGATCAATAAATATATGCACCCATCTATGTGGGTGTGCAATGCATGTATGTAGATAGCATCATCTCTGATGCTTCCTACCCATGTGACCCTGGACAAATTACCTAATGTCCTGGGCCTCGGTTTCCTCATCTGTAAAAGGAGGAAGCTGGATGAAATGGCCTCTCTTTCAGCTCTGACCCTCACAATTATTCTCCAAATTAGCAATGTTTGGGTCTCAGCCCCAACACCGTGGCTCTTGGACTCCAATAACAATCTCCTTTAAAAACCAGAAAATCAGCACTGACAGCTTCTCACGAGGCTGGAATGAAATAGGTAACCTTAACACGCCAGTCTAGCAAAGAGAGAACAGAATTTTTAAGCAAGAACACCATGGGGAGCTCTCAAAACGAAGTCATTTGCATCTTATTAGAATGAAACTTTTACTTTCTAAGATTTATTTTTAAGTCAACTCTAGATTTTTATCCCAAAGAAAAGAAAATGGCCCCATTTTCACCCGGTCTTAAAAGCTCGTCTAAATGTAAATGCTGGCAAAATTAGTCGGATCAGTGAAACTCCACTCACGCCCTCACTAGCCAGGTACCAACAGTGCCTGGGGAGCCATGGACCTATCTCTAAGGGTTCCAACAGTTGAACCCCAACACACAACAGGAGAGAAAGCAGTGGGCGGGCATTCCGTCCAGGACTAAGGGGAACGTCCTGCCACACTCTGCCTGTGTCAGAACACGCCCCAAGCTCTAGGCTTGGCTACGGGGGCCACATGGCACTGGGAAGTGTGGACCTGGGGATCATGGCCCTAGAAGCATCAACTGCAGGTAGGTCTGTTTGGGCTGGAGAAGAAAGAAGACTTGGGGAGATTCTGAGAGCCATCTTCAAGTATTCCAAAGGAATCCTTGGTTGAGGGAGCTGGGGGTGAGGGAGGACAGTTGTTGTCTGTAAGCGACAGAAGGCCTACCATGAGACAGAGGAATTAGGTTTTTTCTGCTTGGTCCTAGAGGGCAGAACCAGAACCAATGAGTGGATGGCAGACTGGTAAATCTAGGCTTGATTGCAAGAAATATTTCCCAAGAGGAAGAAAGGACTGCCTCAGGAGGTGCTGGGATCCATCTTCTTCCAGGTCCCAAGACCATCTGTGAAGGACATTATAAAGGAAAGTCTTTGATTGGAATGACCTTCTCCTCCCTTCCATACCTTAGAATCTCCTGCTTCTTCCAAAGCTCAGAAGAACCATTTCCTGACCCCCCCAGAAACTACCGCTTTCATCCTCAAATGATTTTGTACTTATTTTTCATCTATATGGATGTATATATACATGTACATGTTGCCTGCCCCATTGGAATGTAAGCTCCTTGAGGGCAGGGACTGTTTATTATTATTATTAACTAGCATTTATATAGCACTTTAAGGTTTGCAAAGTACTTTATAAATATTATCTCATTTTACATTCACAATAACCCTGAGAGAGGTAGGTGTTACTATTATTTTTTTTTGTTCTTGTTTAATTATTTCAGTTGTGTCCGACTCCTCATGACCCCTTTGGGGGTTTTCCTGATAAAGATACTGGAGTGGTTTGCCATTCCTTCTCCACCTTAAATGACAGATGAGGAAATTGAAGCAAATGGGGTTAAGTGACTTTCCCAGGGTCACACAGCTACTAAGTGTCTCAGGCCAAATTTGAACTCAGGAAGATCATTCCCGATTCTCGGCCCAGCACTCTATCTATCCACTGCACCACCTAGTTGGCCCATACATAAACTGAGGCAAACAGAGATTAAGTGATTTGCCCAGGAACAGACTTACTAGCTAGCTGCATGACCCTGGGAAAGTCACTTCACCCTGCTTGCCTCAGTTTTCTCATCTGTAAAATGAGCCTGAGAAGGAAATGGCAAACCACTCCAGTATCTCTGCTAAGAAAACTCCAAATGGGGTCACAGAGAGGTGGACATGACTGAATCACAACCAGGGTCACACAGCTAGTTAGTGTCTGAGGCCACATGAGAACTCGTGTCTTCCTAACTCCAGGGCTGGTGTTCTACCCACTGTCCCACCCACTTCATTTTTATGTTTGTTATATCCCATGCCCAGAACAGTCCTGGCACATAGGCCTTTTTTAAAGGTTTGCTGATTGGCTGATTCGTATGAGGATGTAGCTGCTTCATAAATGATACCTTGAACCACTAAATCAGTGCTGGCTATTATTAGCAGTGGTGAGGTCCCCAACACCGGAGGGCTACAAGTGAAGAACAGATCAGATGCTGGAGATGTGGGAGACAAGATGCACGCCCCTGGGAGGAATCAAACACTTTCTACGTTCTGGGCGCTGGGCAGAAAGTTAAAACAAAATCCCTGCCCTCCACAAGCTTACTGATAGAAGGGGAGTCAAGTGACGGACTGCACTGTTCTAGGAATTATAATGTTGACCTCATTACCGTTCTCGGAGTTACAGCCAGAAAGGGGCACAGAACCAGGTCTGGCATGGAGATATCTGCAAGTGGCAAGACCAGATCCCAGGATGCCCATGGCTGGGAGCCAAGACAAGTCAATGGCCTGCCTTTCCAGGCTGATCTCACTGCGAGAAGAAAACATCCCATTTCTACCATGAATAAATGCTTCCCGTAAATCCTGACTGTCACAAACTTCCAAGTTTGATTTCATAAAGCCGCATTCCCTCCATAGCAAAGTGCGGTGGGATGATTATCTGGGTAATATAGCTGCAGGGAGGAAGAAATGTAATTTTCAGTCATATGAGGCAAGCAGACAATAACTGCGTTGGGCCTGGGGTCAGAAAGCTGACAGTCCCAAGTGTTTATCTATCATCGGCCAACAGACCCAGAATCAGGCATCAGAGGCTTAAAATCCTCTCTGTGGAAAGATCCCCATCTATGCAGA